ATTCCTTATTTCTTGCATTCTATCGGCACTACGAAGATCATTATTCCATTATTCTGTCATCTACGCACATATCGAAGATAATTCTTCTTATTCTTACTTGCGATCTACGACGTATTACGAAGATAATAATTATTTCTATGTTCTTGCATCTATAGCAGCTACGAAGATAATATCTTATTTCTTGAGCATTCTAGTCGCACTACGCGAAGAAAATTATACCTTGTTTCCGTGTTCTTCTTGCATTCTAATGATCGCCGGTACGAGAGATAAATTTATTCTTTATTTCTGCATCTTTCGCACTAACGAAATAAATTATTCTTTATTCTCTGATTCTAGTCGCAACTAACGAGAAATTTATTTCTCTTTTTTCTTTCATTTATCGCACTATACGGAAAGATAACTTTTCTTATTTCTTTGCATTTAATCGCACTCGCAAGATAAGATTATGCCTATTTTCTTTTGCATCTACTATCGACTTGTAGGATGAGAACGAAGATAAATTATTTCTTATTTCTTGCATTATGCTAGCTACGAGAGATCAATTATTCTTATTTCTTGCATTCTACCGGACTAGAGAAGATAAATTATTCTTTTTTGCATCTATCGCACTACGAAGATAATATATTCTTTTTCTTGCATTATCAGGCGCTATCGAAGATAATTATGCTATTCTGCTTCTATAGCACTAACGAAGATACATTATTACCTATTTCTTGCATTTACTATCGCGACTAGTGAGAAGATAAATTATTCCTTTTCTGCCATTCTATCGCACTACGAAGATAAATTATTCTTATTTATTTCATTCTATCGCACTACGAGATAAATATCCTTCTTGCTTTATCGCACTACGAATGAATTATTTCCTTTTTCTTTCATTCATCGCACTACGAGAGATAAATTATCATTCTATGCACGACGAAGTAAATTTTCTTTTCTTGCTCCTTCGCAGTTCGAAGATAAATTATTCCTTTTTTTCTTTCATCTATCGCACCACGAATATAAATTATTCCTTTTCTTCATTCTATCGAACTACGAAAAAATTTTCCTTTTTTCTTTCATTCTGCACTACCGAAATAAATTATTCTTTTTTTCTTTCATTCTATCGCCTACGAAAAGAATTACCTTTTTTCTGCATTCTATCGCAACTACGATAGAAGAATAAATTATCGCTTATTTCTTTCATTCTATCGCCTACGAAGATAAATTATTCTTTTTCTTTCTTCTATCGCACTCGAGATAATTATCCTCCTTTTTTCTTCATTCTATGCACATCGAAGATAAATTATTCATTTTTTCTGCATTCTATCGCACTACGAAGATAATATTCTTTTTCTTTCATTCTATCGGCACTACCAAGATAAATTATTCTTTTTTTCTTGCATTCTATCGCACTACGAAGATATTCATTCCTTTTTTTGCATTCCTAGTGGCGATCCGGTCTTTACTTCGTGTCGTGTCACTCCACTCGCCCGAGAGAATCAGCTGATTCAGCTGACAAATACACTCGTTAAAGGCATAGAGAAGCAGTCGGCTATAAAATAGAATATCAATTAATTATATATAATATACACAATAATAATAATATAATAATAATTAATACAATAGAGTACCGGCGTGAAAGCTGGAAAACTGGATTGGATGAAGAGATTAAAAAAAAAAAAAAAAAAATTGACCCATATTTACACGGCTTTTTAATTTTTGAAAGAGAATGCAAAGCAGTGTTAAAGAACAGCTAATGAAGAGATAAAATAGAGCTAATGAAGAGATAAAAAAAAAAAAATGCCCAATATTTACACGGCTTTTTAAATTTGAAAGAGAATACAAAGCAATGTTAAAGAACAGCTAATAAAGAGATAAAAATGAAGCTAATGAAGAGATAAAAAAATAAAAAAAAATGCGCCAATATTTACACGGCTTTTTTAAATTTGAAAGAGAATACAAAGCAACGTGAAAGAACAGATGAGTTCATAGATATTTTCCTTATAACTTCACAATTCTCGTTATTCTTTAATTTCGCTGCACTAAGGGGGATATATGTCTACTATCCCTGCCTTTTGGTATAGTCAATAAATTACGCAATCAAGTGTTTAAGATGTAACCCACATCTGAGAGGCTCCATTGGACACTCCAGAGTAAGCCAAATGCCTCCCTATGGTGTTATTACAATATGAAAGGTTTACGTCTTGTGTTATGAATAACACAAAAGACATAGTATAACATTTTCCGGTGTGAAGTAGATAGTTTTATAAGTGGATAGATAAGTGTCACTTTTACCCTTTTGCCCGACTGAAACTGTGGTGACATTTGCTTGTTGAACATATAACAGTAGGCAATCGTATTATTTGTATTTTTGGCTTGTATGAATGGTCTTAGTGTGTGTATATTTTGAATGTGTGCATATGTATGTGGTGTATTATATTATCTTTTTTATCTTTCTATTCATCTATATATCTATCTATCTAACTATATGTATATGTGTGTGTATATATATATTATATATATATATATATATATATATATATATATATATATATATATATATATTAGATAGATAGATAGATAGATATAGATATAGATAGATAGATAGATAGATAGATAGATAAGATAGATAGATAGATAGATAGAATAGATAGATAGATAGATAGAATAGAGTAGATAGATAGATAGATAGATAGATAGATGTATTATATATATATGTGTGTGTGTGTGTGTGTGTGTGTGTGTGTGTTTACGCAAACGCACACATACTCACTCACACACTCACATATTATATTCATAATTATAAGTATATATATAATATAAAGATGTATATAATATTATATAGATAGATAGATAGATAGATAGATAGATAGATAGATAGATAGATAGATAGAAACATAGGTATATATATGTATGTATGTATGTATGTATTTATGTATGTATATACATATATATACATGAATATACATATATATACATATATACATACGTATATGTTTGCGTTTGTGTAAGAAGAGTGAAGTGGAAAAAATAAGATATAGAGAAAACAACAACAACAAAAAGATAGAAAATCGCCCGCATTGATGAATAAATGTTGATGAACGGAACCAAAATGGAATATATTTAACTCATAAGTATTTTTCCTTTCTTATTAAACATTTTAGACTAACATAACAAACATTCGCTCTCTCCGACAATTCATAAACCAACCNTATTTTTCTACTTCCCCCCTCCCTCTCTCTCTTCGTCCCCTCTCATGTCTCTCTCTTTCTTGCTCTTTCTCATTCTCTCTTTCTCTCACTCTCTCTTTCTTGCTCTCTCTCTCTCTTTATAATCTCTCTCTCTTTTTTGCTCTCTCTCTCTCACTTCTTAATTTCTCTTTCTTGCTCTCTCTCTTATACTCTCACAAATCTCTATTCCTTTCTTGCTCTCTCTCACACTTTCATAATCTCTCTCTTTCTTGCTCTTTCTCTCACTCTTTCATAATCTCTCTCTCTTTCTTGCTCTTTCTCTCACTCTTTCATAATCTCTCTCTATTTCTCTATAGATTACTGTCAATTTCGTTCGAGGGGGTGTGGGTGGGGATGGGGGGGGGAGGGGGGACTACAATCGGTGAAGAAAGGGGTTTATGGTATCTTTATGAATCGGAAATTCTTTGTTAATTTTGACTGGCTTGTCTGTCGCAATCTCGCTTATTATTTTCTAATGTTATCCTTATCTCTCTTATCTATGTTTTGAGAATATGGTGTGTACTTCTTGTGTTTTCTGCCAATTTTCTTGTTTTTTCTGTTTCTTTTTCCTCCCTCTTTCTCTCTCTTTATACAGTACATTATTTATCATCTTTCCCCTTTTTATCTGCATATCTGCTTATCTTCATCTTCCCCATTGTCATTTTCTCTCTGTTTCCTTCTTTCATTTTGCTTGTCTGTCTCTCCACTCCTCTGTCTGTCTGTCTCTCTCTCTTTATATTTCTCTTCTCACTCTTTCTCTCCCTCCTCCCTTCTATCCCTTTCTCTATCTTTGTCTCTTCTCTCTCTCTCTCACTCTTTCTCTCCCTCCCTCCCTCTATCCTTCTTCTTCTCTGTCTCTCTCTCTTTTATTTCTCTCTCTCACTCTTTCTCTCCCTCCCTCCCTTCTATCCCTTTCTCTATCTTTCTCTGTCTCTTTCTCTCTTCATCTTCACACGAAATAACAGGGATGTGGAAATACAATAATGGCTATTCTAAGCATCCCGGGAGCAATATCTTCGGGTTTCAGAGATATCTCTTAACGCCTTAATATAATAACAAGAAGCTATACTGTTGGCACTGTGTATAGCTTCTCCTTGGCTTCTCCACTTGTCCGTGAAATTTATATTACTATTCTACTCTTTTTAGATTTCTCCATTTCTTCTCCTCTTTCTGTCCTTATTTATCTCTCAGGCTCTCTCGAAAAAGGTATGTATAAACAATTGCACATAAACATAACATGCAAACATATACATTCACACATAAATATGCATATGCGTGTACGTGTATGTACATTCATATGCATATGTATGTGTATGTGTACGTGTATGTGGATAAGTATGTGTACGTACATAAGTATGTGCATATGTATGTGTGTGTGCATAAGTATGTGTATGTGTATGTATGTATATGTATATGTACATGTGTAACGTATATTACATTCATATGTATAGTATGTGTATGTGTATAATTATGTGTATGTATATATATATATGTGTATGTATATGTATATGTGTATGTATATGTATATGTATATGTATATGTGTATGTGTATGTATATGTATAATGTATGTATATGTATATGTGTGTGTATATGTTATGTATATGTGTAATGTATATGTATATGTTGTATGTATATGTATATATGTGTATGTATATGTGTGTTATGTTATAATGTATATGTGTATATGTATATGTGCATGAGTATGTATGTACGCGTATAGATACACAAATAGATAGACATACCCACGCATGCGCACCACATACGCAGATACAGGAAGCAAAACTCAC